CTCTAACCCATTCATCATCCTATATGAAATCGATGGCAATACCATAACCAGATGGGGCTTGGAAAATACCTCTACCAATTTCTTTATCCACTAGGCATAGATGTGAAGTGTAGTAAAATAATGAGGAATAAGGGGACCACAAGGTACTTCAACCGAATAAAAAAGGTCAAAGGATGTGTACTCCCCTAATTCTAAGAACTATAGGGTCAGTCGATGCCCTATGGCTCCAGCCCAATTTGTTCTCTAACCTCCCAACCTTCCTGTTTCTTAAAAAAGGAACAATGGTGGTAATATTTTTAAAACAGTAAATATATGTTTTCTGTTTCCCGGTGTATATTGACACTTGACCACAATTATTTTGTTATGATATTTTTCTGTTTTCAGCTGAAAATTGAAACTTGACAATATTTTTGTCACTTACACTGGAATAATAGATACAGTGAAAATGCTGATTTACGCAAATCAGTTAACCTACAAGATGTGCTAATAAATAGCATAGAACGTTTTATGAATTACCAGTATAAATATTTTTTTCAGTGATTGAGTTATAATGCAAATTTTAAACAAAAGTATCCAATATTTTTAGTTACCTTGGTTATTTTTAATTTAAACTATAGTGATAAAGTAAAATAATGATGAAAGATAATGGCATATTAAATACTAAAATATGAGAGGAGTTTTTCCTAAACAAGATGTAAGATTGTAAAGCGTAAGATTGTAATGTGTTGTTTCTCTCTTTGGTTACTTAGATCAACTTGAATTGCAAGGTTTAACACTAATCTAATATTCACCAAATACTTACAATTTTTATTGTGATGTGATCAGTGTGGAGTTGTGCTGTCATTCAAGAATAGTTTTTAAGCTCCAGAGGCAACTCTTGACTCACATTTCATTAACCAAAGGCAGCCAGACAGAAAGGATGCTGTGTGTGATCTGTAATGGCTGTGTGCCCAACACATTTGTGATATGAAAAAAAAAAGAAAACACTTGAGTTGCATATTTTACAATATATCACTTCAATTATGCTAACAATAGATTACATTTATACCATAGCTAATTAAAAGCATCTTTAAATAATAATCTGCAATGCTCTTAGTAAATGTTATAATGTAAAAATTTAGATTTATAGCAAATTCACTTTATTTAATACTTTATAGTAGGGGTTAGGCAACTTTTGGAACTCCAGATGTTGTGGACTACATTGCTCCTGATGCCATACCAGCATTATGACTATAACAGCATTATGGGAGATGCAGTCCACAACATCTGGAGTAGCAAAGGTTCCCTCCCCATGCGTTATAGGATAGTGTACATTGTGAATGAACATTGTTCACAATAAAGTGACACTCTTAAATGGTAGAAGAATCTACCATCTACGCCTACCATCTACCCAAGAACTTATATTGCATTTAAAGGGATATTTCTTTTTATTCTGGACTATTTCATTTGATTACTGACAACAGTATTTAATTGTATTTTTGCTGCACAACCTTTTTGTTTTTGTTTATTTTCATTATTAAGTAACCCCCAAAGCATAGACAAACTGGTGAAAGAGACATAAATGCTAATAATGATAGGTCATGAATGCCTTCATTTATTTAATGCTGTTTTCATAAAAAAAACAGTAAAGGGATTGGGAGTTTTGCATGTAATGTAAACTTTCATGATACATTACCAGCAATGAAAACCACCCTTTCTCACTAATTGTCACATATCCTTCATATCCATGTGGCAACAATGGAGATAATTACCTTCCGAAGATCGAGGGGAGTGACGCTTCAGCGACGCTGGAGGTCCTCACATAGCATGGGGATGTCCAGCGACGTTATAGCACTCTTTTCATGTGCTATAAACATGGAAGTGCCCTCTAGTGGCTGTCTAATAAAGTAGACAGCCACTAGAGGAGCAGTTAACCCTGCAAGGTAATTATTGCAGTTTATGAAAACTGCAATAATTACACTTGCAGGGTTAAGGGTAGTGGGAGTTGGCTTCCAGACCACTCCAATGGGCAGAAGTGGTCTGGGTGCCTGGAGTGTCCCTTTAACTCAAGGATTTTGATAATTAATCATCCTTTTTCATCCCACAATCCTCTCTAATGTCAACATCTCTCTGCACACTTTCTAATTTTTAGCTATTGTTTCAGCTTCTTTGATTGCACATTGTGTTAATTTAGAATTTCTTATCTTCTGCTCTCTTGATTGTCTACTAGAATCTACAGTAACCACCTGTGTGTGATTAAACTTCAATTAACACAGCAGAAAAAACAATCTAAAATAAATATACTTTGTTGCAAAAATAAATCCTATTTTTTTCATGGAGACTGTATAAACCAGAGCCGTGGGAGGTAAAGCTAGGGCTTACAAAAACAAAATGTATTAAATTCTTCAATTAACCCCTTAAGGACGGAGCCAAATGTACACATTGTGAACAAAACAAAATGTAAACAAAACCTGGCATTTGCGCTACATGTCTGTCCAACCGTAATACACCTCTTTCATAGTAAATGCAACCACCCTTATTATATATCATTTTATTCAGGGGAAACAGGGCTTTCATTTAATATCAAATATTTAGCTATGAAACATAATTTTAATATGAAAAAAATGGGAGAAAATAAGTTTTTTTTATTTTTTTAGTTCTACATGACCTTTTAACGGTCAGTGTCATAATACTGTTTGCTTTTACTGCAATAAAATACACATATTTATATTCAGTAAAGTCTCACGTGTAAGACAGTACCCCCTATGTACAGGTTTTATGGCGTTTTGGGAAGTTACAGGGTCAAATATAGCACGTTACATTTGAAATTGAAATTCGCCAGATTGGTTACGTTGCCTTTGAGACTGTATAGTAGCCGGGGAATGAAATTTACACCCATAATGGCATACCATTTGCAATAGTAGACAACCCAAGGTATTGCAAATGGGGTATGTCCAGTCTTTTTTAGTAGCCATTTGGTCACAAACACTGGCCAAAGTTAGCGTTAGTATCTGTTTGTGTGAAAAATGCAAAAATGCCAATTTTGGCCAGTGTTTGTGACTAAGTGGCTACTAAAAAAGACTGGACATACCCTGTTTGCAATACCTTGAGTTGTCTACTATTGCAAATGGTATGCCATCATAGGGGTAATTTTCATTCTTGGGCTACCATAGGGTCTCAAAGGCAACATAACCAATCTGGCGAATTTTAATGTGAAAAAACTGAAATGCAAGCCTTATATTTGACGCTGTAACTTTTGAAAACACCATAAAACCTGTACATTAGGGGTACTGTTGTACTCGGGAGACTTCGCTGAACACAAATATTTGTGTTTCAAAACAGTAAAAAGTATCACAGCAATAATATTGTCCGTGTAATGCTGTTTGTGCGTGAAAAATGCAAAAAACTTCACTTTTACTGGCGATATTATCGTTGTAATACATTTTACTGTTTTGAAACACTAATATTGTGTTCAGCGAAGTCTCCCGAGTAGAACAGTACCCCCCATGTACAGGTTTTATGGTGTCTTGGAAAGTTATAGGGTTAAATATAGTGCTAGCAAATTAAATTCCCTTTACTTTCGGCATGGGTTATCAGGCAGGTCCCGCTAATTGTAATTAATTAAGATACCTAATTATGTAAAAATATTACATAAATATATATGTAGAATTAATATATGTATATATATATATACGTATGTGTATATATATATGTATATATCTATATAATTTTTAAAATATTTTTTATTTATATATAGGTATATATATAGTGATATATACGTATATATTTATGTATATAGATATATATATATTATTTCGTTCTACGTGTATTTTGATATATATATATATATATATTAATTTCACAAAACAGTTAGAACGAAATAACACATCTATATATTTTTTAATTATTTATTTTTAATTATTTTTTTAATTTTATTTTTTAACGTATTTACATTTTTATTTTTTTTATATTATATATAAATATATATATAACAATAATTATATATATATTTAATCAGTATCAGTCTATGTGTAATTTGATATTAATATATATATATAATTATATATATATTAATAGTAAAATACACCTAGACGGTGTATGTGTGTGTATGTATATGTGTATATATATACTTAGATCATATATATATATAATATATACATATGATCTAAGTATATATTATTTATTTTTTACACTGATTAACTTTTTTTATTTTATTTTCAGCCAGCATTACAGGCAGCCCCCCTGCTGGCAATACATAAGCCAGCTATCCCCGGCCATGTGATTGTGGGGTCCTCGCTAGGACCCCACTCTCACATGGCCGGGGGGCTTCGACGAGGACGGACGTGCCGCGGGGGGGTCCCTGGGAGTCCCCCCAACCGCGATCGCCGGCGTGGGACCGCCGGCGACCGGGTAAGTTAACAAAAACCGGAGGGCGTACAATTACGCCCGGCGGCGTTTAGAGCCGCCTATTAGAGGGCGTAATTGTACGTCCTCCGGTTTTAAGGGGTTAAAGAGGTTTGAACACATCATTAAGTTAAAGTCATTTTGGTGCTTAAAGTATCCCTTTAAAAATCCACAGTTGCATGTCCACCCACCCTTTCTCACACCCAGGTTGTTGGGGTCCCCAGTTCCCTAGTCACCACCCACCATTAATATTAAATAACCTTACTTACTTACCTTAATAATAGTAACGAAGATAATAAAACTAATACCTCTAAATTAAAAAAATATATACTATACAATGTGGTCTTATTTCTTCTAACTCTTTCTTACTTCACCCTAAAAAAGGCAAAATTAAAACCCAAAATTCCTAATGCCAAAAAGACAAAAAAATATATAAAAGACAAATTAATTTTCACTTTGCAATGGTTTAAAGCAGTCTAGCCTCTAATAGGCCACTCAAATAAAAAAAATGGAATAAAATTGAAGTGCGCTTTCCAGAGTATAATAAAAAGAAATTTAATAACTTACATTGACGTATAAAACAATCAGTGTCACCACCAGGTGTCCTACGTGTTTCATCCAATGCTAGGACTCCCTCAGGGACTTCAGTGGTAATGGTAATTATTATTGTTTTACTTGATCTTCGTTACCACTTACCACTGAAGTCCCTGAGGAAGTCCTAGCATTGGATGAAACGCATAGGACACCTGGTGGTGACAATGATTGTTTTATACTTCAATGTAAGATATTACATTTCTTTTTATTATACTCTGGAAAGCACACTTCAATTTTATTCCATTTTCTCTTGAGCATATATATTCCAGTTCATCTATGGGGGAATATTGATGGAAGAATCCAGCTGAATCTTAAGAAGGAATTCATGCTTAAGGCTGTTTTACATCTGTGAATGTGTGAGTGGCCATTTGTAAACATACTACCTGTGGTTCACTTTAATACACAGTTATACGCTATGTTATCTTGTTTGCTTTGATTTAGCAGATCATCCCCCATTTTTTTGTATACATTTTACTGAAGACAAGAGGAAGTCTTTGGGGATACCATTGGACACTTCACCCTATACAGGGAGATTCCTTTCTGCTAATAATTTATTGAGCACTAGTGATGTCGCGAACGGCGAACGCGAACTTCGGCTAATGTTCGCGAACCCGCGAACCAGGCGAACCGCCATAGACTTCAATGGGCAGGCTAATTTTAAAACCCACAGGGACTCTTATTGGTTGAAGGGGGGGGGAGACCTACTCTCCTCCCCCCCTGGCTCCCACCCCTGGGTGGCGGGTGGGGGCCATAAAGATAATGAGGGGGGGACCTACTGTCCCCCCCCGGCCCCCACCCCTGAGCGGTGGGTGGGGGACCTAATAACAATAAGGGGGGGAATTATTGTCCCCCCCGCCCCCACCCCTGCGCGGCGGGTGGGGGCCATATTGATAATGAGGGGGGGACCTACTGCCCCCCCCGGCCCCCACCCCTGCGCAGCGGGTGGGGGCCATATTGATAATGAGGGGGGGACCTACTGCCCCCACCCGGCCCCCACCCCTGCGCGGCGGGTGGGGTCCATAATGATAATGAGGGGGGACCTACTGCCCCCTGCCCCCCCGCCCCCACCCCTGCACGGCGGGTGGGGGCCATATTGATAATGAGGGGGGGGACCTACTGCCCCCTCCGGCCCCCAGCCCTGCGCGGCGGGTGGGGGCCACAAAGATAATGGGGGGGGACCTACTGTCCTCCCCCCCCGGCCCCCACCCCTGGGCTGCGGGTGGGGGCCACAAAGATAATGGGGGGGACCTACTGTCCTCCCCCTCGGCCCCCACCCCTCGGCTGTGGGTGGGGGCCCTAAGTAAATCCCCCCCCAAGGTGACTAGGGGTCCCCAAGCCCCTAGTCACCCACCCCCCCTTCAAATAAAAAGTCCCTACCTACCCCCCTCACCCTAAAAAATAGTGAGGGGGAATAAAATAACTAACCTGTAAAATAAAAGTAAACTTACCATTCGACGTCTGTAAAATGACACAGAGCACTGTGATTGGATGGTTTTCAAGCCATCCAATGAAAGCCATCCAATCACAGTGCTCTGTGGCTTAAACCCACCAATCAGAGTGTTCTTAGCCTAATTGCAGGGTGTGGCAAGGCTTTATAAGCCTTCGCCCGCCCTGCAGAGCTCAGTCTGCGTGGAGCCCTCCATGGGTGAAGATGGATTATTTTTTTGCGCTCGGGTTTTTTCTTTTTCGTCTGGTTTTTTTTTGCGCTCGGGATTTTTATTTTATTTTCAATTCGACGGTTATGATGGTTTTTTATTTGGCCTTTTTTGGGGCTGAAAAAAGAAGATTTGAGAAAAAAGAAGACGTTGAATGGTAAGTTTACTTTTATTTTACAGGTTAGCTATTTTATTCCCCCCTCACTATTTTTTAGGGTGAGGGGGGTAGGTAGGGACTTTTTATTTGGGGGGGTGACTAGGGACTTGGGGACCCCTAGTCACCTTGGGGGGGGGATTTGCTTAGGGCCCCCACCCGCAGCCCAGGGGTGGGGGCCGGGGGGGAGGACAGTAGGTCCCCCTCCCCTCATTATCTTTGTGGCCCCCACCCGCCGCCCAGGGGTGGGGGCCGTGGGGGAGGACAGTAGGTTCCCCCCCTCATTATCTTTATGGCCCCCACCCGCCGCCCAGGGGTGGGGGCCGGGGGGGCAGTAGGTCCCCCCCTCATTATCAATATGGCCCCCACCCGCCGTGCAGGGGTGGGGGCCGGGGGGGGCAGTAGGTCCCCCCCTCATTATCAATATGGCCACAGGCTGCTCACTGTTTAATAGACATGCCCCTACTCGCGGTATTGCGAGTAAGGGCACAATTTACTAATACTAAGTAATTTTTACTTAGTATTAGTAAATTAATAGGGGGCGGACCGAACATCGCATATGTTTGCCATCCGTGGCGAACGCGAACACGCTATGTTCACCGGGAACTATTCGCCAGCGAACCGTTCGGGACATCACTATTGAGCACTTATTGCAATGTGGTTTGTGCACACTTTCTGTTTGTTTTTGTAGCCTCTAATAGAGAAGAAACCCCTTATAAAGGTTTTTCAAAGCTATCTCAGATAATATATAGTAATTCACCCTTTGGGGTTTTATCAAGTGGCTTGGGGCTTTTTCCACTTGATAAAGCCCCAAGGGGTGAAATGTGTTGTGGATTTACTGTTTTTATAATGAATAAAAGTATTGTTTGTTTGTTTGTTTTGGCCACATACTTTTTTTAGTTTTTTATCCTTTTATTTGCTTTTTACCTGGCATTTGGTCCCATCACCTGTGACACCTGTGGACTACCATCAAAAGAATCCAAGGTGGGATCATATCACCCACACTTGATATATTGAGTGTTTTTTTTGTCTACCCAGTTTATTTCCAAGTATATTTCCATTTATTATTTATACTTACCCATATGGAGTTTTCAGTCAGAAGTGGTTCACCTCACAGTCACCCTGTTGTGAACTATTGCCAGAGAGATATCTTACAAATGGGGATTATACCACTGTATGCTGATTAATCTGGAGCTGGTCAAAGCTCCAACAAATGTAAGCTGGAAATTAAGCTTAAGTGTTGTATGTTACAAAATTTTGTGACATATTGTACTATTGGTATCCCTTGTCTTTTGCTATCTTTCATACGCTGTCATGAGTGAAGCCCAATTCAAGAGCAATATAAGAGATAAGCGTAGCTATTTTTGGACTGTGTCTAGCTACTTGATATTTTGATCTTTTATTAGCTTGGTCTTTGTTCTTACCTATACTTAAAAAATATAAAAATATATTTTCTTTTTTTGTGTTTCTATACAATTTGTTATTGTCACATCCTATAAATTTATTTTCTATTTCTAGTTGTTTTAAAGGGATTTTAGAAGGAATCCTTTTCTCTCAGGTATGCTGCCCCTGCATAGCTTTGTTTGCGTTAATCTTTTCTTTGTTTTGTGTTTTATACAATATCAGTATGAGCGCTTTAACAGCAAAGTCTTGATAGAAGTCTTACTTCTAGAAATTGGGACTGTTACACATAAATTAGGACACTTTGGAGGCCTTTATTATTAAATATTGGTAGGACTATACATTATATGACTATGGCATGTCAATGTTTTCAAGGTAATGAATAGTATAACACTTATGTTATATGCTTGCTTTATTGATCTGCTGAAAACTGACCCTGCACCTTTTTCCTAAAGGTTGACAACTAAGCGACATGTGCATTGCCCACACGACTTTCACATTTTTATGTTTTATTTACAGTATAACTCACTGTTCCACTCCCCACTGACTGAGTTTGGACATGTACTCCACAGAAGCACCTTATGATGAGCTTGTCTCGACTTATCAACAAATGCAATGCCTTTAGCTTGTAACTCTCATCAAATTCAGGTCCTGCATGATGATCACTGTAGGTCACAGCAGGAGATCTTTTAGAGGTAGTGTGTAAATGTGGAATAGTTATTTTCCTAATTTAGAATTTAGCTGTGTCCTTCTCCTCCCTGCAGTCTCCAGCAACATGTCCATACTAGCTTCAATTCTACAGTCTGCGGCTCACCCAGTGCTCAATCAGGAGGAGAGCGAGAAGCCAGCTGCAAGATTGACAGATTAATCAGAAGTGTCTGACTATCACCTGCAAGATGGGTTTGGAGCTGGAGCTCCACCCACCTCTGTCTTAAACCTCCCCTTGTTGGGTGTACAGGAACAGAAAGTGCTGAGAGTAGTGCTCAAATGAGCATGCATTTTAAGTATTTTTGTGTCTATTAAAATGGTGACTTGCTAAATAAAGCTATTGTGGACTAAAATTCTCACCAGGCTTAATCAACAACTAGATGAGGTGGCGTTATATTCCGAGATATATATCAGATATATATTTTAAAGGATCACTATAGTGTCAGAAAAACAAAGCAGTTTTCCTGACACCATAGTGCCCTAAGGGTGCCTCCACCCGCAGAGTCCCCCTCCCATGGTTAAAACCCTTTCAGCAGCTTACCTTATTCCAGCGCTGGGCTCCCTGGTGACCTCTCATCCCCCACCGACATCAGCTACCCCATCCGACGTCAGTGGAGCCGAATGCGCATGTGTGGCAAGTGCCTCGCCCGCGTTCAAAGTGTCCATAGGAAAGCATTTCTCAATGCTTTCCTGTGGACGCTCTGTACGATGGAGGTGAAATGTGCCTCCAGCGTCGCAGATGCGCCTCTAGTGGCTGTCCGAAAGACAGTCACTAGAGGCTGGATTAACCCCAAATGTAAACATAGCAGTTTCTCTGAAACTGCTATGTTTGCATCTGAAGCGTTAAAATCTAAGGGGCCTGCCACCCAGACCACTTCATTGAGCTGAAGTGGTCTGGGTGACTATAGTGTCCCTTTAACTATGACCACCCATAGCCAGAATCTAACGATGCATGAAAGGAATATTTCCAGCTAGGAAGAACAAATTCCAGCTAAATGATTGACAGCTGAGGGAGGTTGTCCCACATGCATAAACAAAGATATACTTATTTCCAAAAATAAATATTTTTTAGAAAGAAAGGCTGCAGACATCATTGCCACTTCCGTAAGATAAGGTGGTTATGGTCCTTAGTTACCCTTTAACCCCTTAAGGACACATGACATGGTTTAGTAAAATAATGCTATGAAATATTACAAATTTTAAAAAGGATTACTAAA